TAATGTAAGGATCTTTTCAAACAATTGTTCTATTGTTGCAGCAAAAAATAGCAAATAAGTCAGTTCATGTTTACGACATAAAATTTACTTTCATTGAGATATTTTCTGTAATATTACCTTATTTTTGCACACAAAAAAAATTCGGCATGAAGATCAAAGATTGAAAAACGTGGCATTGTTTGCTTATTTGCAATGCTACTTATTTTCTAGAGCTATCGTATTGTTTGTAACTTCCTTTATTCTCATAATGTTCACATATAGAAATTGTCCCTCTGTAATGACTTTTGCAAATATATGGAATAACAAATATACAATCTAGGACTTGAGGTTTCCAATGATTTTGACTATTAATTTTATTCAGCTTGTGTAGCAATAACATAACTTGCAATACATCAAACATCGGTCATTAATGGCTGCGTTATTGCTACTAATTGCTATCAATGACTAGTTATCAGGAATTATTTCTCCAATTTAAAAGCAAAATGAAACCAAAAGAAGTGCCATTAATTTGGTCTATAATTACTAGTCATAGCATTGGATTAATACCGAAAAAATACATGGAAAACATCGGCATTGTATAAACGACAAGGATTGTTTTGGACACCTTTCTAGTAAGCTAGAAAAAGAGGAACACATATTTATATCCGATCCGATAAATAATCAATTCTTTTCACCTGAAACTTAATTACTACATATTGAACTCATTGATATGTTGTAGGAGGATAAGTTTCATTCTTCATTAATAAACTCTACCCTGGTTAGAGCATTTTCGATGCAGGTGAGTTTAACAAAGTTGCGGAAACGAATATAAATTATTATTCAAAAATTATACATTGACTAATTGTCATTTCCAGTCATTTGAAATAACCAAAAACCCCAAAAATAATAATATAAAACGAAAAAGTATGTTAAGCAAGAAAAGGAATAAAACTCATTGGACCTATAATTTTCATCCGTTTATTTCTGCTTTTCTACCCAAAAAGCACAAAGAAATTATGTAAATTCGCTCATTTATTTTGATTATTTCTTTCTTTTTCATCAGAAAATATGAAACGAAACTTCAAAAAAACACCAAAGTGTATTCCGAGAACACACTATATATAGTGAAATTAAAACAATTAAAGACACAGAAATGGAAAATTACATCAAACGAGAAATTTTTTATTGCCTCAAAAAATTAAATAACAATTCAAATTCACGACTTTTGTATGATTGTTATTGCCTTATTTTTGGTTTCGAGTGAATTAAAGCAGTCTCAAAAGGTTGATTCACTTTGTGGTAGGCAGCAATATAGTTATTGATGATGCATGATTTGAACGCAGCTCGACAAAAAACAGAGAATTAAAACACTAATGCAGCGGTCCAAGGAACATTGACTATAACCTCAAAAACTGATATTTTGGGGATAAAAGGGTCTGAAAACGCAGGAACGAGCGTTAAAGTTCAGAAAATGAATTAAATCTAGCTATGAACTATAGATTTTCTCATATAAGGAATTATAATGCTGTTTATGGCGTTACAGATCATCAGAATGACTCCTATATAAAACATTTGAGGAAGACATACTCAGCCTGTAAACAATCCAATTAGTGCATCAAAAACTGTGCTAAAATATATTGAGAACTGACAACAGAGAATGATGAAAAGTTATTTGATGTGTGCATTCAAATTTGTTATATTCATGAAAATCCATTCAATTTTCTTTAAGCCTGACCAGTAATTTTAAAAATTGCTTCGCAATTTATTTTGATATTGCCTCATGAAATAAAAAGAGAAAAATTAGCTTCCGATTATTTACTGAATAATTCAATTGAAGGCAAGATACAGATTGCAGATATCAAAAGGAATTGGAAGGATTTAAATTTGCATGATGCTGCTGTAGCTACAATCAACTTTAATTCCTTGAAGAAATGCTTTGCAATAAAATATAATTTACGAAAATGTATCAGAAGTTCCCAAATAAATGTACACATACTGTATGTAAATTGTATTTCATTGCTAGAACTTTTTTTTCTCTTCCATTTACCGTTAAAAATGTCTATTAAAATGAATTACAGATATAGAAAAAAATGGAATATGGCAACCGGATATTTGATATAAAATTACATCTCAAAGTATAAAGGGTATGAAAAGATGTGTCTGCACAATAAAAAAAGAGTCCTAAAATCATGGCAAAACCAATCATTAAATACGACAACGGGTGCATAGCACATTTTACATCCCTTCTACTATGCGCCATAGTTTTTAATTCTAAAACTTAATTATAGTTTTTATTCATAGACTTAAAATTTAAATTCAATGAAAAAAAGGGAAATGCTTAACATCAAAAGCGAGTGGCATTTGCCTCTACCTCAATTCTTTATGTAATTCAACTTAACAAAAAAAAAAGGAGGATGATGATGATGCTGAGGATTTATGAGCACCTCCAAGTGAGCCTTGTTTCTGTTAGAAGTAAATATTATGCCACTGAAGAGAGCACGAGAATACACAAAAAAAACTGTGGCATGTGTATCCATTCTATGCTCTTAAATTTAGAATTAATTTCAATAATAATAAAATGTGTATGGAAACCAGTTGGACGTCCACAGTTGGTGGCTGATCAGTGAATAAATTGAATCTTTCTTCACTTTACCACTTTTTTATTCTTGTTTTTTTTTGCGCTCGCTTTGGATTGTTTGCACAAATCTCAAGCTGATAAATTATATCTTAATTTTTGAGGATTTTTTTTGTAGGTTAAAATGAATGAAATGTCACTCAAACATTGTATGCAATCTTAAATACTAATAATGGAACTATAATGTCATAAATTATACTTTACTTGAGGGGTTCTCGTCTTGAATTATTAAAAGTTTTGGCAAACATTGGTTTGTGGAGGTTAAGAATCGTAAAACTTTATTCTCGTCATTTTCTTTTAGAGAAAGTGGCAAGGTGGAAGTACTGTAACCATGTTCCTATGTGGAGCTAAGGTTACAGCAAAAGGCTTTCCAAGCTTTATATATGCTCAACGAGAAGTTGATTTAAAATTTTCACTTTCTTTTTGAATTTTTGAGTTTATTTGAGCATTAAAGTTCAGACACTGCCTTCAAAAAATAAATATTGTAAATTTTAAGATTATGAATTTTAAAATAATATTACAATAGTTTATAATAATCTTTGATCAAATCAGTTGTTACTTTAAAAGAGGAGAAAGGAGTGAGGAGGAAATCAATGGTCAATTTATGAGCCATAACCGTTTAGTTAAAGTTAACAGGCTTCGTTGATCGGGCCATGATGTTAAGAGACCTGTTGAAGCTCCCATTAATAAAGTTCTTAAGTCTGATTATGTAGATGGAAAAGGAGCACGTGGACGTCCCAAGAACTCTTGGAGAGAAGCTGTTGACAGAGACAGTATTAAACTTGGTATTGGTAATTGGCAAGCGGTAGCTTGCGATAGAGCCAGCTTCAGGTGCCATTCAAGGAAGGCCATTGATCACACTTGATCTATAGGGCCAGAGAAGCGAAGAGAACAGTTTAGTTTTACATTTAGTACCTATTTAGCATTTTAAAACCGAAAAATACTGTACACAACAACTATTAAAAACGAGGACTGCCTGCACTTTTTAGTTCTCTTTTAATCTGAATCATTTAGATTATTCTTTGTCAAGATTATAATCAGTAATTTTGATGTAATTTGACACTCATAATAGTAATGAATAAGCAGAAATATTCTTTTTTCAAACGGAAGCAACAGCGAAGAAAATTGCGTAAAAGCGATGCTATTGCCATTGGAGAATTCACAATGTTCCCGCCCTCCATTGTGTTTTTCGACTCTTTTCATCGCTCTTTCGTATCAAATTTTTTTTTATTTTTCATGTTTTTTAAAACAAATAAAATTGTAAGCAGTTGCTGGACAAAGCCATTGCGTTTTTTCAGTTTATTTCTTTCTCAAGCATTTGAAATGGAAATCGTGAAATTGAATTAATTGCCTAGCAATTAGTTACTACTATAGATGATGTTGTATGTGCATATTATTATTAAAAATAAAACGAGAGGAGAAAAAAAATGTTAATTAATTTAATTGAGTTTTATTGACTCACCGCATGAAGGAAGAAAAATAGAGAAAAATGGGAACATTAAAAATGCATAAATTAATTGGCTTCGAGTTGAAAAATTTCGAATTAAAAATTGCCGCGTTGATGTGACGCCAAACTAATGCGAATTCATTGGAAATCGGCAGGAAAAATGCGAGAGAAGAGAAATAATTTTGCCTCGAGGTTATCAATTTCAAATAAGTGTGTGATTGAGCATCACAACCTAATGAATTTCTATTGAAATCTTTTCAAATGTATAGTAATTTTTTGAACTTGAATTAAGTTTCAATTTCACTAGATGTGAAAACTAAAGAAATCAAAATATTATTCCATTCCAATGAATCCTTTCGTGTGCTGGCTGTAGCTGTAGCTACTTACTTACTCACGTAAATGAGGGTGCAAAATTCAAAAAGAAAAAAAATTGACGAGGGTTTGTAATCATGAAGCTGATAATATGAGGATGGTTTGTCTGACACGTTTCACTTCTGTTTCAAATTATCCCACCAATTGTATTTCAAATTTCAAATAAATTTAAATCCTTTAATAGTGTCATCATCAGTGAATTTATTTCTCCTTTTCCTTGTCCTATTCCGTATCTAATTTTTGTTCAATTGTTTTTTTTTTTTAAATCATACTTTAGATTTTCTAGCTAGGTCGTAAGGAACGATAAATTAACAATTCGCTCTTGCTAGAATCAAATGCGAGTCAATGTAAGTAAGTAGTAAGTACGTGGGCTATGAACAAATACAAATTTGATCGATTCCACAATATGTTAATTGGATATAAGACATAAATTAATAATAAGAGACAAATAGAAATTAACAATATTATCCCAACGCGCTCAATCGATAAAAACAATACAAACTAGTTCACGTAAGAAACGGTCGATTTTATTTCAAAGAATTCAGCTGTAACACAACGGCATTGAAAAATTCAAAAAAATATTGCGCCTGTATGTGTGAATTTATTTGTTCTTTACAATATAACAAAAAATTATAATTTTGTTGAATTCTAGCATAATTAAGGATAATTGTTATACAATCTAAGGTAATTATAAGAGTACTTAATAGTACTAATTGCTGAATTGAGAAAAATCTAAGCATTAACGGAGAAATCAATGAAAAACTGGACTTAAAAATTACACATGACACATAGCCGCATAAAAAGAATCAAAACATTAGAAAATTTAATATTTTTCATAACGTGAAGCTTTTAAAGCCACACTATAAATTAGAATATGATTACCAGTATCAATTAGATTAAGCTTAATTGTGTTAATTAGATCCAGCAAAGCAATTCCTAAGTTATTCACTTAATTAAATTTTTTTGGTTATTGAATAAGATTCGTTCAATTCTATTTTTAGGAATAAACAATGCCCCCAAAAAAGGTAGAAGAGCCTGAGAGAAAACCACTCATTGGACGTGTTGGAACCAATTTAAAGATTGGTATTGTTGGAGTTCCAAACGTCGGAAAGGTAAAAAACAAAATAAACTCACTTGTAGCACTTAAAATACATTGTTTACTTCTTATTCCAGTCAACGTTCTTCAATGTATTGACTAAATCAGCAGCGCCAGCTGAAAATTTTCCTTTCTGTACGATTGATCCAAATGAAAGCCGAGTGCCTGTTCCGGACGCAAGATTTGATCATTTGTGTGAATATCATAAACCTGCGAGGTAAGAAATTAAATCAACATTTTCCGTATATTAACAGGATTCCAATAACTCAATGTTATGAATTAAAGCTAGAATTATTTGGTTGAATTTTTTCTCTCTATATGGAACTAATGAAGGCTATAATTATCACTGCTAATTATTCATTGAACACATCAACAACGTTATAATCTACAAGTTATTAGCTACAACTATGTAATGAATGCTATAAGCTTACTAAGATCGATTTCTGTCTTCGGGAAACTTGATTTTTTGCTTCATTAATGAAACTTTATTTTTGCAATGCATAATTTTCCTTTTAAACGAACATTTCTCTTCCATTCGACAGCCATACTTTTAAAAGGGAGCTTGAATGGAACTCCGCCTTTTTAAAACACTATATAAATTAAAATTCTAAATGCTTCTGGCAAGGCTATCATCAAAAGCAACAATAACAAAAACAACCGGCAACAACCATATTAATAATAATAAATCGTATGTAAAATTGAAGCAATTCAAAAAGACTCGTGTAATTGCTAATTATTTTGCGATCGTTGCTTCATGCTTAAATGTTTATGTTGAAAGAATCATAAAAATTAACGAAATTTGCTTCAAATTTCTCCCACTGAAAATTATTTTCAAGGAAAAATGTCGATGACGACTTATGCAAGTTGTTGATGTCGGCAAGTCTGCATTAGAATAGGGATTTTTTTTTTTCGTTTGTTCCTTGAAACATAAGAAATGAAAGGAAAAATTTGAATAAAGAACCCATAATTATGGAACCCCGCGAGTCCAGCCAATCTAAAATAATTGCGTAAATGTTCTGATCCGCGACGATAACTCGTCTTCTGATGTATCGTTCCTTTATATATGTATATTGTATATGAAATGATTCCGAGAGTTGTTATGTTGGTTCTTCCTTTCGAGGAAAGTAAAATTGAGGCAACGCAAATTTGCATAAAATTAATTTTTTACAAAAAAATAAAAAATCAAAAAATATCGCATCACGAGAGAATACAAAACACAGTAAAAAAAGTTGGTGCTAGCTATTATAAATATGATGAAGAGAGGGATGGTAACAATGTATGATGATGAGGCACAAAATTATAATAATTTTTGCATATGTGTGGTGCAGTATGATGGAGCAGCACAATATTAAATGGAAGTTAATTTGTGGCTGTTCTGAAGTTCTCATTACGAATGCACCAAGCCATTTATTTATCATTATCATGATTACTCTACAAACGATAAATTGAGCTCTTTTTTGCATACTCTGTTGTGTGTTGAAAGCTATCAGCAGTAAAAAATCTCATAGTGCATTTTGTTCACTGTTAAATGGTCCCACCAGACCTATAATAATTTTTATGATTATGCACCACATAATTTTATGCATTATTTTTTTTACCTTTCATTCCTATCCCATATATAGAAAAAAAAAATCAACAGCAACTACAATTTTTCATTGAATGGAATGAAAAAAAAAAACAATTAATGAATGTTTATAATGCTAATTAGACTCATTAAATTACTGTATTTTCGTTCTTTAGCAAGGTTCCAGCATTCTTAAACGTTGTCGACATTGCAGGATTGGTTAAAGGTGCAGCTGAAGGTCAAGGATTGGGAAATGCTTTTCTTTCTCACATCAGTGCATGTGATGCTATTTTCCATCTTTGTCGTAAGTACTTTTTCCCATGCTTTTAAACTACTGAGGTTCCTCGATTTGAACAGAAATTTTTTTACCCAACAAAATATTCGATTTGAGTAGATTTCTTCCTTTTTTATTCGATTTGAATTATTTACAAAACAAATACCCTATTTTTACGTTAGAAGTCATTACTCGTTACTAAGCCAGTAGCTTGATAAAAAAAATTGGATCTGAAAATTTTTCTTTTCCGTTATTAAGGTAATCAAGGTGGTTTGGACTTGAAAATATTAAGATTTCAATGAAATTTATTAATTTTTTATCCCACAAGCCACTGGCTAGTAACCAGTATCAAGTAAATTTTCTGACTTATGTCGTCCGTGCCTATACCAAAAAAAAAAAAAAATTGTTTTGCTGTTCAAAGTTAAAATCAATTCGAATGACACGAACAAAAATTTAAAATTGCCTTATAATATTTTTTTTAACATTTAATAAGCACTGATGTTCGTGATCAACTTTTTCGCGCAAAATAATTTAAATAATAAATTCCTTTGACTGAATACAACAAGAATTTGAACGAATTTGCAAGATCGAATCGATTTATTTTCGTATACATTATCCATCTGGATGTAGAATTGATAATATTCGGTTATGAACATTGCAATTTTGTGGGAAATGACACGAGTTCAATCTGATATTCGATATACCAGTAAAACACGTACTAAAATGTGGAAAATTGATGTAATTTGCAATTGAAAGCATTAAGCTTTGTGGTTTTTTCAATAAATAATTTCATTTTTTTTTTCACTCTCAATTCCGAAATACAAATATATAGGTGCATTTGAAGACGATGATGTGACTCACGTTGAAGGTGAGGTCAATCCTGTTCGAGATTTTGACATCATTTCCGAGGAATTGAGATTAAAGGATGAGGAAATGTTGGGCAAGCATATTGAGAAGTTGGAAAGAAACGTTCTTCGTGGCAATGACAAAAAGTTGAAGCCTGAATTTGTAAGTAATGATTATTTTTTTGGGTGATTTGAGGTACTTTGTGGAACTAAATTTGCCAGTGATGAAAGATGAAAGATGCTGTTACAAAGGTTTAATCAATATTTATTGAACATCGGATCTTCTAAAATATATTCAATCATTTAAATCCATTAGAATTGAACCAACAAATTGATTCCATTCTTATCGATTTTAATTCACAAGAAAATGTTAATGCTCGTCATTTTTCATCATCTCTTGTTGTTGATTATGCCTGATAGTTATTAATTTTTTTCATGAATCGAATCATGTTGTATGTAAATTGTGTGTTATTGTGAATATGAATAGAAATGAGATAGTGAAATATGAATGTTATGTTTTTTTTATGAATGAAAAAGAGCAACAGTATCAAGCAAGTTTAATGGAAAAGAATTTCATTGAATTTCATTTTTTTTTTGGAGGCGTCGACCACCCAACAAGAGTTTTTATCTTTGATTGTTAATCTCCATAGCTTATAATTTCATATTCAAATACTTCAATATCTACATTTATGAATTGTCATTGATACAATGTTATTTTCATATTATGTCTAGCCAGTCATAATTTAATTTCTTTCCTTGTAAAATTTCTTATATTTTTGTTAAATCATTCAAATGTTATTAATTTTTAACACTTCAGCATTATGATATGTCTTGTTAACATATTTCATAGCTTGCAGATATTATTATTGATAGTAATTTATAGATACTAAGAAGTCAACGATTTGTTTAATGGGAAATCAATTTGAGACTTCATTTGGAAGTTATTAAGAAAATTAATGATCTTCGATCAATAATGGATTGGATGGATAGATTTCTACTTCCTTTATTGAGAATTTTGGATGATTGGTTGTGCCAAATTAGTCTAACGGGTTTCCCTTAATTTAATGACTAGTTTTGCTTTATATTATTTTTAAGACATTCTTGATATTTGATTATGACAGCTAGCAACGTTAAATCATTAAATTTACCTTATCTTTAAAACTTCCTGAATTTGTCATACCTCTAACGTTTTTAGACAGAATGTCTGTCGTGACCATTATGCGCTTCATCCCTCATTTCACCTTTAACCATTTGACATGGCTTCTTTCTTTCCATACTCAACCTTGATCATAGTGGACGCATTTTCCCACGTTTTGTAGGTTTTATCTACTATTTCATGAATTATATTTAGCACTTAAGACTATAATATTCCATTTAAACAGGAATATAATCACCACTTACAAATTGTAATCCCGTACGGGCTTGAAATATCAATAAATTTGATAAAGTTATTAAGAAAGCAGATTAGAAGCACTCGTACTCGATTACTCGATTTATATCATTTCGTTTAGAGGAAAGTAGACTTTATGTCGAGGTCTAGCGTCACAAGTCGACATGATTATTTAACGGGATTAAAGATATTAAAACTTTTAACTGAATTGTAGAATTTAAGCTTTTAACGGTTTTGTAGGATTTAAAAGTTAAATCGGTTTTGGAGAATTTAAATTTTAAACGGTGTAATTATCAAGTTTTGACGGTTTTGTAGAATTTAAAATTTAAACGGTTTTGGATGATTTCAAAGAGTTGTGTTCAAAAAGTATTTGAAATCCTTCAAGTTCCTTTTCCTCTCTAAAAGAATTCAATGCGTTTAGATATTTCCTCCATACTTCTTCATCAAGACATTAAAATTTTGATGATTTTGACCTTATTGATCAAATATATTTTTAATAGACGTGCCATTTTTTAAGGCAATCAATTTCGTTATGGTCCCAAAAAAATCAATGTAATTTAGAAAATTCAATTTAATCAAACGAAATTATAGCAAAATCGACAATCGTCCATTCCATTCTGAGAAAATTAGAATTAACATTTTTGTTGAATATTTTTTTTAATGTTAAACATTTTCATTTTATGAGCCATGAACACGCGATGGTCATAACTAATCGTCACGTCGATAATTTTTCCATTTTTATCAAACTCATGTCGTTGGAACTGAAATTTGCAATAGTAAGAAAGACGTCAAGTCTAACAAATGTAAATGAAAAGTTGTTTCTTCATTCAATTTCGTGTGAATTGAAAACATAAAAAAATGCAAATGAGTCAGCCATTGCTATAAAAAAAAAAATCAAGTGCCTACTTCTCCTGTGTTTAATAAGCAACAGAGAGCATAAGAATGAATGAAATGAAACATAAACAAAGGAAAATGACCATTCACATGTAGCCACCATTTCTTGAGAATTGCACGCGAATTAATTAAACGAATGGAGATCGTGTATGTGTAGAAAAGAGAATGAGGAACTACAGGTAGTAAGAAGAAAATTCTGAAATGTGCAACCTGTTTTAAAATGCCTTACTACTTGCCTTGTTGTTATTCAATGCTATATAATTTAGGTCTTCATTCCATCAACAATTTTATTTTTTTTGGGTAATTTTAAGAAAAAATTAAGTCTTACGAATTTGATAAAAAATTCATGATGAGACATTGTGCAATAAGCTATTTAAATTGCGCGTCACTGACTTTAAAATATTTTATGTCAATCATGATTATTTTAAATTATTGATGAATTAAGTTTTACATACTTGAAAGAATGTCTAATGACAAAAACTTTACGTTTAAAAAAGGTATAAAATCCTCATCTTACTACATGCTGCTTTTGGTGAGCATTTAGCGACATTTTAGCTTTACTTTCATTTATGATTTAATGGATAGTGCCAATATGGTAGACAAATACAGTGCGTATGATTCGTTTAGCCGCACACAGTTTTTGCTTTTTCTTTCTAATATGCAACTTATAAAAATTCAATTATACTGTCAAATATTCTTCATTTATCACGTAATCAAGTAAACTATAAATAATATTTTAAAAAAAAGTAGAAAAGAAAAAATAACGAAAATTTGGATTTTGAAAGTATGATTCGTTTAGCCGCACTAAGGAAAAATAGTAGTTCAGTGGATATTGTAAACAGATTAAGTTAATTTGTAAGTAATTTTAATTAAATAGATTATTATCTATAAAGTAACGCTATTAATTCATTAGATTACTGATTAAAAAACAAAAGTTTAATCATGCCAAAAGGAAAATACCTAAATGAGACTGAAAAAGGCTGTAATTGATCAATTAAAATCGATTGAGCTGTCCAATCGGGATATTGCGAAGCGAATTAATAGAGACGAAAAAGTAGTAAGAAATTATTTGTTAAAAGGCAAAGATTATGGCAAGAAGAAGAAGACAAAGGGCAATACAAAAATTACAAATAGTGACAAAAATCGTGCAATTCAACTTGCTTCTACGGAAAACTACGTGAATTAGATCTGCCTATTAAGAAAGCTCAAGTTTGGAAAATATTGCGAGACTCTGGCCGCTTTAAATATGTCAAGAAGATGAAAAAACCTATGTGGAATGCTGAGCATATTGTAGAACGATTACGGAGTGGACAAATGTGGTCTTTTCAGATGAGAAAAAATTTAATCTTGATGGGCCTGATGGATTTCATTATTACTGGCACGATTTAAGAAACGAAAAGCAATTCAACTACTCTAGAAATTTTGGTGGTGGCTCTTTAATAGCTTGGGCAGCATTCTCAATGCATAGTGATTTGATTTTTGTCCAAGACAATGCTTCAATTCATAAAAGTAAAAAGACTATGGAATGGTTTAGTAACAAAAATATCGTTGTTCTCGACTGGCCAAGCAGATCACTCGACATGAACCCAATGAAGAATCTATGGGGAATACTTGCCCGTCGAGTATATAGTCGAAGTTGTAAATTTTCATCCATTCAAGAGCTTGAAGTTGAAGTCCGTAATTGCTGGCGAAATTTATTAACACAGATATTAGAAACTTTAGTCAATTCCATGCAAAATCGTCTAATTGAACTTATACGTAAGAATGAACACAAAACAAAATACTAATTCATCGTTTTTGGGCAAATAAAATATTTTTTTTCCTTAGTGCGGCAAAACGAATCATTCTTTCAAAATCCAATTTTTCGTTATTTTTTCATTTTTTTTCTTTTCTACTTTTTTTTAAAAATATTATTTATAGCTTATATGATTACGTAATAAATGAAGAATACACTGGTGGAAATTGAAATGAGACACACGTTTTTTTTGTGAAAGTCTTACAAATAAAAGATTAAGCCTTACTTGTTGTATATCATTGGATAGGACTTTAAAAAATAACTCAAGTACAGGAACAATGTACTGACTGAAAATGTAGCAGTTTTAAGTTATTTACAAAATATGATTTTTGAGGTGGAAATTGAAATAAGACACTTTAGAAAAATTTATAAAAATCTTCCTCAATTTTGACTTTGACTATACATATTGTATATAGACTTGTAGATTTTTACTTTCTTAACAATACTAGAGCATTCTAAAAAATTTTGGAACTTCCAGTCATCTAATATCCTCAAGAGAAAGTAGTAAAAGCCAAGTTTTTTGCTTATTTTTGTCATTTATTAATATTTTATGCACATAAAACGTGTGTATAAAACATTTAGAGAATCATGCACTATGTTTAAGATGCTATAGTATCCTTATAATATCAGGACAATTTAATTATTATTTGTTTAAACCATTAATTTTAGGCTAGAAAAAAAGATGCAAAAATAAATTCAAAATTTTTTACAAAAACACTAAAGCCTAGTATAATTAAATTATCCTGATAGCATAATATCTTAAACATAGTGCATGATTCTCTAAATGTTATATACACACGTTTATGTGCATGAAATATTAATAAATGACAAAAATAAGAAAATTTTAACGGAATTTTTCGAATTGATTTTTTGCATTAATAATGTGACAAATTTATGAAATTTGATATTTTGGGATTTAATCATGACTTAAATGTTAATCCTAGCGTTTATGAAAGGGGATAAAAAAGATATGGAATTGAAAACTAAGCCTGTGTGAAGTACGCTAATATTAAAAACAATGCAGAAAGTGTCCTGAAAACTTCAGATTTTTTTGATTGACCAAAATAAGAGAAAAATTAATTTTTTCATATCCGTACTCACTCGTAACAAGCATATTAATTAATTTTTGTCATTTAAGCTTATGCTGAGGTAAATATCAATTCTTTTTCTGAAAGAGCATTTAAAAATCTACATATTTTGATTTCATTTGTTATTAATAGATGATTATTCATAAAAATATTTGATGAAAACAACAAAACTTGGCTTTTATTACTTTCTCTTGAGGATATTAGATGACTGGAAGTTCCAAAAAATTTTAGAATGCTCTAGTATTGTTAAGAAAGTAAAAATCTACAAGTCTATATACAATATGTATAGTCAAAGTCAAAATTGAGGAAGATTTTTGTAAATTTTACTGTGCCTCATTTCAATTTCCACCTCAAAAATCATATTTTGTAAATAACTTTAAACTGCTACATTTTCAGTCAGTACATTGTTCCTGTACTTGAGTTATTTTTTAAGTAAGGCTTAATCTTTTATTTGTAAGACTTTCACATAAAAAAACATGTGTGTCTCATTTCAATTTCAACCAGTGTATTTAACAGTATAATTGAATTTTTATAAGTTGCATATTAGAAAGAAAAAATCAAAAAACTGTGTGCGGCTAAACGAATCATACGCACTGTATTAACAGACCATAAAGTTATTAGTCTGATGCTTAATTGTCACGCGCTTTATGATAGTTATTCTTAATATATTCAACCTTTTTAATTACTATGTAAATTAAGAAGGAATTTATTAATTAAATTATTCTAAGAATAGCACTAAATTCACCAATATTAGGTGGTATTTAATCGCTTTTCCTTGCATTTTTTTGATTGATCTGTAGCTGACTAATCTTGCTTATGATCCTGATATTCTAAAATAATAGAGCCAGTCTGTCAAACCACAAAATCCTACACAAACTGCTTACTATTGACTCCTGCCAGAAAAGTGTTCATTTCAAGAAAGTAAGGGAAAATATTCTTGACATTTTTATTTCAGAAGTTGAAAACTAGAAAACCACAAATTGCTTGTAATTGCTCAATTAAAGTTTTTCATTTTTACATTCTCACGTTCATAAATTTTAATTCTCGGCATTTTCTTTACGTTCTTAGGACTCATTGATGAAGGTAAAGCATTGCCTTTCGGAGGAAAAGAAGCATATTCGTTTCAATGATTGGACAGCACATGATGTGAGTAATAAACATAATTAATGTTACAATTATAAAATTAATTTCTTAATTGTTGGATATTTAATTTTCTAATAGATCGAAGTTCTAAATAAATATTTGTTCATCACATCGAAGCCTGTCATTTATTTAGTGAATCTGTCTGATAAAGATTTCATTAGAAAGAAGAACAAGTGGCTTCCAAAAATCAAGGAATGGGTTGATAAGAATGACCCTGGTGCATCAATTATTCCATTCAGTGGTGCTTATGAGCATAAATTGGTTGAGATTGAAGATGACAACGAGAGAAAGGCTTATATTGAGGAACACAAATGTCCATCAGCACTTGAGAAGATCATTTTAACAGGATATAAAGCACTTCAGTTAGAATATTTCTTTACTGCTGGTCATGATGAAGTTAAGGCATGGACAGTTCAAAAAGGAACAAAAGCACCACAAGCAGCTGGAAAAATTCACACAGATTTCGAAAAAGGCTTCATTATGGCTGAAGTTATGGCATTTGATGATTTCAAAGAAAAAGGAAGTGAAGCTGCATGCAAAGCTGCTGGAAAATATAAACAGCAAGGAAGAAATTATACTGTTGAAGACGGAGATATCATATTCTTTAAATTCAATGCCGGTGCAGGCTTAAAAGACCCTAAGAAAAAGTAGAGTCCATCTAATTGAATTTCTATATGCAATTATTTATTATCACGCATATAATACTGAATTTTATTATGATTTTGATATTTTAATAAATTGCAAGGCTCGCACACTGCATTTGTACTAAATTTTGAAGTGTGAATGCCTTGATAAACTGCGTTAAAGTTTTTCATACTAATCATGAAATTAACGTCTTTTTGACATTTAAAAATTTGTCTGAAAATTAATTTGAATATTTTTTACCCGTTGATATTTCAGAATTGTATTTCCTTAATTATTGCGCATTTATATGGCACTGCCATTGTAGCTTAGATTATCAGAAAAGTTTGTAAACATCTGTAAGTTCCATTTATCTAGCATTATAAGAGAAATCTGTTGATTCACTTGACCTACCGCAATTCCAATATCTAACGAGTATTTTCAAGGACGTTGTAAAGGATAAACAAAAAAAGTTTCAAGTGACATAATTTGATAAGAAAAATGGGAATAACATTGACTGATAATAACTTTGAGCTGATTTTCCAGCACTTGTCATTCAATGACATTTTGAATTTAAGTCAAGTGTCAAAAAATTTAAGTGAAATAATTTCAAATTCACCAAAATGTATGTTGAAAGTGACATTAAACCTACATATAGATGATAATAATCAAGTTGTAGAATTTCTTCAATTTTTTCGACAGAATAAGCGAAAGTATCAGAATGTCAAGGTTGATTGTCACAACAATCATTATATCACAGAGAAGTACATGCTGATTTTAAAGACAATCGAAAGGTCTATAGTCAATTTAGAGGTGAAAAATGCTTCATTTCGATGGGATGAAATCAATACGAGGAACTTTCATGATCAATGGTTAATTCTGACAGATTTAAAGAAACTTAAAATTTGCAGCATTAACGACTACACGGCAGAGATATTCTTCATCTCATGTACTTATCTTGAACAGCTGCACGTTGAAAATGTTCGGTTAAGCAAATACTTCAATTATTGTTTAAGAGTTAACGAGAAATTGAAAGATCTTAAAATTTTACATCCACAAGGAATAAGCTATGATTACGAATTTTACGGATTCACAGCTTATAATTTCAATTTGGACTACTTGCACTTTAATTGTAAGGAGAATCGAGAGAAGAATAAGCATGCATTTTTGAAGAGAGTTATTTATCCAATTTTAACAACACAAGTCAGGAACTTGAAGAGATGCAGAATCAAAGGAGTTTATTTCGATGCCGTAAATATTGTTTTGGAAACATTAAATCAAGACGATTTCAAATGCAAAAGCTTGAATTATGCTGTAACATCTGCACACGCTAAATTTACAATCAACGATTTACAATTCTTTTGCATCGAAATGAATGAGATTCATGCTGAATTCTGTAATAACTTGATGGTTTTCATTGAGAGGCAAAATGATAGTTTGAAAAAAATTTGCATAACCTCGAATATCATTGATGAAGATATATCCTGTATTTTATTCAAAAATTACCTTAATGTTGACTATTTAAGTATTGGTGGAAGCCTAGAACTAATCAATGGAAGGAATGACAAAATTACCAAAATCATCACGTCTGCAACTTGTATCGAGGAACTTAAAACTTTATTAAAATTATCTCCATGCTTGAAAGTGCTGCAGATATTCTCACTTTCCAAAGAATTGCTGGAATTTGTCACCAAAGAATTAAAAGACTTGGAAATCATTAAATTCCATTTTATGGATGTAGACAGCTATAGTAGTGATATTAAATTGGAACAGCTTACAAGTTTTGATCCATTTTTAAGAATCTGTGATGATCTCCATGAACTTTTATTTCAGCACTTTGTGGATGATTCCTTTGCAGAGGAATTAACAAGAACATGGACGAGATTTTATTTTAAGTAGAAATTTCATAATTTTATTATCATTTTCTCAATTTTATTATTTAAAATAAAGATTTCCAAAAGAATAAAACTAAACGATAACAAAGAAAATTCTATATCCAGAGTCATTCGTTAATAATGTCCACCATCAATTCCAAATATTGTAATAAAAAAATCTTATATTAAATACTCGAATTCTTTAATTAATGATTGATGAATGACATCATTAATGAATCGACCCCTCAAATATTTTAATAAGCTTCCTAATATTAAGAACGGAAATTATTACAAAATTAAGATTTATACACAACAGAAAGAGATGTTATTTGATATTATTAATTTTTTTTTGTGATATATATTGTTCAATTATCAAATTAATCACTTTGAGAAGCTTTTCTTCTTTGGCTTTCTTATGAAGCACATACCCAAAATTATTCAAGCATTTCGTATCTGGAAATTCATCCAAAACAGCACAAAAAGTTTCATGGTGTTTCGCGTAACAATCAATTTATAGATTTACTGATGTCACTTTTGTGATTCTTTTTGGGTTTTTGCTGCATATTTTCCCGGAAACGATATTTTAGCTTACAATTTAATTGATGTTTATATTAGGGGTCGTTCATTTATGACATCCATGGGAGAGATGTAGCTAGAAAATACCAATAGAAATTCCAGGAAATCCATGGATCTTTATTGAAACTTTACTGTTACGTCATAAGTTAACGACCCCTAATCAAATTTAGAAATTAATGGGTAAGATTATTCAAAAATCTCTTGTGAAGTATATAATTTTGTTGGATTTAAATTATCGTCTGCCTTATTGTTCAGTACGGGAAAATATGTACGCTTTTGATCACAAGAAATTCATTTCTAAGCTTATTGCTTCAAATTCATTAAAATTACATTTTCTCGATTAAAAAAAATATAAAAGAAATTTTAAAAACATTTATTATGGCAATTGTAACTTTGCGCTTTGACTAAAATTTTGCTTTAAGCATCCTCATTCGAAACTTTCCTATTAACCATAAAAAAGATTTTGAAAAATTATCTATTTTTGCATTCTTAAAAAAGTTATTCTTTGTTGCAAAAATGACGACATTCGACTTTAGTTTCTTGCTTTATATATTATATATACTTTATAAAAAAAAAAAACTTTTGATGAATGTAAGAAAATGTGGTCGGCTGATAAAAATAAGCAAATGTGATAATATTTGAGCGCGGTGATTTTTAGAGGCAATACATACAATGAAAAAAAGATTTTTTTTTTATCGGGTTTTTAATGCTGTTAATACATTCACTGGACAAAACAAAAATTCTTATAAAATCTCTACATCATAAATGCTTATAGCATTGACCTTTTCAGAAGTTTCAAGCTCTTGACTTACACCGTCCGATAAAATAAAGAAATTTTTGCGACAATATGGACAGACTTTGGTCATATTGATGCCTTAACAGTTCTACTTGATTGGAATTAATGAATATTGTCGTTAAACTGGATTCTGACCGACATCAATCTTACAAGAATCTAATCATCATTTTACCGCAATGGAAATATATTAGTTATTTGCATTCTGATTAGCTCTTATAATACATTATCCTAATATTATTAAACATTGAGTTACCAATGGTTTATGCTGAATATAAATTACAGCAAATTTAGATAAATTATAAAAGGAATCCCGTTCACAAAAGACGTCCTTCAAATATCTGATTTATTTACTTTCCTTCTTGTGATGGACTAAATCTCTAATTATATGAACGACGTCATTTGCGATTGACCCCATATGTGAAGAGGTAACCATAATGAATGCTGATGAAAGAAGTTTATTTAAGTATCGTTTACGAATATTTTTTTTTGTGTTTTCTGAAGCGATGAATTTAAGGAATATAGAAATTTATACTTGGTATGATTTATGATGTACAACAACTTCTATAAGCTGGAGATTTTTCCTGGTTCTTTCGGTCTACGACAACGACCTGATTCTCATTGTTGCTATCTTTACTGGCTGTTTGGTCTAGAATAGCTTCAGCCAATTCACTAAATGCCTTCTCGATATTAATGTTTGCTTTAGCTGATGTTTCCATGAAACGAATTCCATATTCACGAGCAATCTAAAAATAATAGACAAGTCACACGTTATTGAAATATTTGATTAAATAATTTTAATGTCAATTATTAGCTAATTGAATCAAGTTTACTTACCGCTTCACCGCGTTCTTTACTAACGATTCTTTTATCAGTCATATCACACTTGTTGCCCAAAATCATTCGCTCGACATCCTCATTTGCATGCTCATCTATATTCCGCAGCCACTTTATTATGTTTTCAAACGACTTCTCATTGGTAATATCGTAAACTAATAGTATTCCCATAGCGCCACGATAATCTATAACCAGCATTAAGAATTCATGAATGAAGATATAAACTAAAAGATCGGCTTATTAAATTTTTATACTTACAGCTTGTTGTGATAGTATGGAATCTTTCCTGTCCGGCAGTCTACATAAGTATGTGGAGAGATTAGTAATAAGAAATTTTATGTGCATGCAATATTCAACTTACATCCCAAATCTGTAATTTGATCTTCTTTCCTCTCAATTCGACTGTTTTGATTTTGAAATCAATTCCTAATAAAAGAAACAAACATACAGCACATAAGTTTTTTTTTATGATTCAGTGACCTTGAAGTTTCGATAGATCTTAATTAAAGTTAATTTGAATGTCGTATCGTGTGAATAAAAGGAAAAACATTGATAAAAGAATCGAGAATATTCGCGTGTAATATTGATTTTGAGACATTTCGGAGTTGCTGGAAACATTTCATAAAAATCTTGTAAATGCCTTGAAATTAACAGTTTATAGTTAATCATCTACGCGAGCAAGTAAGAATGCATAAAAAGAGAAAATCAGATGACTGATGATTCATACAAGCTTGTATATACAGCAACTTGATTTTACTATTGCATCTATTTGATTTTAATTAATATGTGATTGTGGTTGACAGTAGGGCGCTAGTTCAGACTTATCTATTAATAAGTGAGATTCATCAAAGTCATTCTCGGAATCTACGCCCAAAATTAATCAACCGCAGCATTTACAAACAACTTGTAGCTTATAAGTACTTACCAATTGTGGAAATAAATGTCGATGTGAAAGCATCATCAGAAAATCTGAAGAGAATACAAGTCTTGCCGACACCAGAATCCTAAAGTACGAGAAAATTAATTAATATTTTAATTTTTTCATTTTTCAAATATTTTTTTCAACTTTTTCTTTGTGATGACTATTTTAACACTTATATCCTTTAAATTCGATACTTACTCCAATTAATAATAGTTTGAACAATAAATCGTAAGTTTTCTTTGCCATTTCTGTGGTTTATTTGTATAATTCGCTTTAATTTATCAAAAATACCGATAATAATGAAAACGTATTTTCGACTTCCGGGTGTTTAAAGGTGTTTAGAAATATTATCAAAAATCGTACCTCTCGGAAATTTGAATTTTTCCGTTTTTCTTACTTCCACTTTTAAAATTAAATTTTGATGAGATTGTTCTCTGAAATTTAAGGCATTGAAAACTTCAAATTATTTGAATGTCACTGAAAATCGTCAGTAGACTTCTTTATTAATCAAGTACTGGGGGTCCTCGATTTGAGTAGTTATTTTCAGAGCTGCGAAACAGGCACCTGTGACAGGTGAGAACCCTACAATTCCTTCTTCTTCTTCTTCTTAATTATCTTTATTAAGGTCCTTTTTAATAAATTTTAAGACCATTTTCAATTCCATCCCTACAATTCCTTGATAATTTATAAGGGTTTTCTAACAAAACCATACAAATTATCAAGGAATTAAAAGGTTCTCACCTGTCACAGGTGACCTGTTTCGCAACTCTGGTTATTTTGTTCCAAAAATTTTCTACTCAAATCGAATCTATTCAAATCGAGACAAGGAATTCATACAAAATCACATGTTTTGTTCCAGAGTCCAAAAAATGTATCAAAACAATGAAAATTTTTTCCACATTTTACCTCGTTTCTTAACTTTTCTTTTGTGTTTTAGATGACTTAATTAATTTTAAAGCATATTCATATGTAATTTTAACAGAAATTCACAACAAATATGTTTTTTCAACAAATCAAAAATATGAGAACCTTACAAATGTTATTTCAACCGAACAATTTGTAAGGTTTTGAAATTTGAACTTTTTGAAACCGTTAATTTTATATCGATTTTTTAAATTTTTACTTTAATTTTGTAACTTTAGTATTGATTTTTCTATCAATTTGATAAGATCACGCTTATTGCAATAATATTTATGTTTTAAAAATATTTTCTGAAAAGTTTTTGTGAAAAATATTTGTTTTGTAAACAATTCAAATCGAAGAAAATAGGAAGAAATCTACTCAAATCAGAGTTGTGAAACAGGTCACCTGTGACAGGTGAGAACCTTTCAATTCCTTGACAATTTTTAAGGGTTTTCTAACAAAACCATACAAGGGTTTTCTAACAAAACCATACAAATTATCAAGGAATTGTAGGGTTCTCACCTGTCCACTATGGGGCAAAATTGAAAAAAAGGGGTAATTCACTTCGAAAATAGGACTCTTTCAATTTAGGTTCTCGGGGTATTTTTTTCTTGTAGAGGACATTAAATTAGACTTGCATGCCAAATTTCAGACCATTTTGTGCTGTTTTTGAGATTCTAGAGCTATTTGAAGTTGAAAATGAGCAAAAAAACTGGTTTTTTCATGACATATTTAAACTTAAAAATCTCTGCAATGTTTAAAGTTATTGAAAAATTGTTTTCGGTTCCTATAAGAACAATATAAAAGCTTTATTTTAATGTATTGTAAAATTTTTAACTTTCCAGTTTTGGTGCTGGTATGGTTGGAAATGTACGAAAATCCTATGAAAAATATCTTCAAACGTGCCGCAACTATCTTAGCAGGTCGATTTCCAGGTAACTGAATATACAGAAATATAGCTCTTGATATACAATTTGTAAAACTGTATAAACATTAGAAATAACAAGGTACGTTTTTGAGAAAAATTGGTTTGTGTAAGTCGTGAAATATTAAGCCAAAAACTGATTTTTCTTTTAAAAACAACAAATCATTCATAGTAGAAAAGTTTTGTAATGTTTTCTAATTGCAAATAATATTTAAAGACAACCTGCAAAGATTTTTTTTCAAAAAACTCAAAATTTGACGAGATATCGGGTACATTTGATATCTGATGACTTGTATGTTTTTTGCACCACTCAAATGACTCTAACTTTTGTTTAACTTAATATTTTTCAGTTCTGTTTCCTGTTTATTGTAGCTCAAGTCAATACCTTTCTAACAATATATAATACTTGATAGTTGCATATGACATTGATCTTGATTATTGGCATTGTTTGTGAATGACCCCAAACTAAGAAAAATCTTGAAAACGACATTTCTAGAAATACCACTTAGAAAGAAAATTGTGTATTGTTTTGAGGTTTTTTATGATGATTTATGATAATTATGACTGTTAAAACTCAAAAACATGGAATTCATAAACTTTTTGCGATCTCAGGTAGCCTGATTAGGTACGACCCTAGTAGTATCTATTGGACCAGAAAGTCTCTAGTATCAGACTATTTTAAAAACTCAAATTAATGAATTCATCATATTTAAGCATATTTATAGCAAAATATTTCATTTTTAAATACTTTTGGTTGATAAATTGTGAATTTTGGCTATTTTGTTTAAGTTTAAGCTTGCGTCGGCCACATTCAATCCACTCTAGGTGCAACTATAATGAAGTTTTATACCAGTATTATACATTATCTTAAAGGTACTGATCTAAACTAGCAATAATTGAAAACAGAATGCAAAAATATGTATCCTGAAAAAAGTTAGAGCTCTTTATGTACATCAAAAAGCATACAGAAACGCAACCATCATAGGTAAAAATACAAAAATTTAAAATTTATCAGTTTTTTTTGACAAACTTTCATTTTTATGTAATAATAACCACATATAAACACTTTTTCATTACTTTTTTGAAAGATTTTCGTTGAAATTTTCAATTTTTTTTATTTTTACCTATGATGGTTGCGTTTTTGTATGCTTTTTGATGTATATAAAGAGCTCTAATTTTTTTCAGGATACATATTTTTGCATTCTGTTTTCAATTATTGCTAGTTTAAATCAGTACCTTTAAGATAATGTATAATACTGGTATAAAACTTCATTATAGTTGCACCTAGAGTGGATTGAATGTGACCGTCGCAAGCTTAAACTTAAACAAAATAGCCAAAATTCACAATTTATCAACCAAAAGTATTTAAAAATGAAATATTTTGCTATAAATATGCTTAAATATGATGAATTCATTAATTTGAGTTTTTAAAATAGTCTGATACTAGAGACTTTCTGGTCCAATAGATACTACTAGGGTCGTACCTAATCAGGCTACCTGAGATCGCAAAAAGTTTATGAATTCCATGTTTTTGAGTTTTAACAGTCATAATTATCATAAATCATCATAAAAAACCTCAAAACAATACACAATTTTCTTTCTAAGTGGTATTTCTAGAAATGTCGTTTTCAAGATTTTTCTTAGTTTGGGGTCATTCACAAACAATGCCAATAATCAAGATCAATGTCATATGCAACTATCAAGTATTATATATTGTTAGAAAGGTATTGACTTGAGCTACAATAAACAGGAAACAGAACTGAAAAATATTAAGTTAAACAAAAGTTAGAGTCATTTGAGTGGTGCAAAAAACATACAAGTCATCAGATATCAAATGTACCCGATATCTCGTCAAATTTTGAGTTTTTTGAAAAAAAATCTTTGCAGGTTGTCTTTAAATATTATTTGCAATTAGAAAACATTACAAAACTTTTCTACTATGAATGATTTGTTGTTTTTAAAAGAAAAATCAGTTTTTGGCTTAATATTTCACGACTTACACAAACCAATTTTTCTCAAAAACGTACCTTGTTATTTCTAATGTTTATACAGTTTTACAAATTGTATATCAAGAGCTATATTTCTGTATATTCAGTTACCTGGAAATCGACCTGCTAAGATAGTTGCGGCACGTTTGAAGATATTTTTCATAGGATTTTCGTACATTTCCAACCATACCAGCACCAAAACTGGAAAGTTAAAAATTTTACAATACATTAAAATAAAGCTTTTATATTGTTCTTATAGGAACCGAAAACAATTTTTCAATAACTTTAAACATTGCAGAGATTTTTAAGTTTAAATATGTCATGAAAAAACCAGTTTTTTTGCTCATTTTCAACTTCAAATAGCTCTAGAATCTCAAAAACAGCACAAAATGGTCTGAAATTTGGCATGCAAGTCTAATTTAATGTCCTCTACAAGAAAAAAATACCCCGAGAACCTAAATTGAAAGAGTCCTATTTTCGAAGTGAATTACCCCTTTTTTTCAATTTTGCCCCATAGTGCTGTCACAGGTGTCTGTTTCGCAGCTCTGACTCAAATCGAATATTTTGGTGGGTTAAAATATTTCTATTCAAATCGAATCTACTCAAATCGAGGACCCCCAGTAGTTGAAACAAGCAAGTCAATAAAACTTAAATATGTCCACTATACCATTGTGATAAATTCTGTGATGTTGGTTGTATTTTCCTGCATATCTTAATAGATTCATCAAATATGTTGTTTATATTGTAAAATTCAGACAGTTCTTGTATAGCACGTTCCTCAATTTGAGTCAATATCAACGACTTGGATTTGATTTTCTCAAAAATTTGCTTCTCTTTCTTCTCGTCTTTTATAATGGCAGTGAATTTCTTATTTCCTGAGGATTTGGGTGCTTTTTGCTTAGAAGTTGAAGGTGATGAAATTTTAAAAATATCAATTGGTTCCTTATTTACAGGCTTCAATTCAACATTATCCATATTCCAAGCTACTCTAATACTTTCTTGTTGCTGTATTGGACTCTCTGTGACGACAGTTGGGATATTTTTAGCTTTTACTTTTACTGTAAAATCGGCAAGTGTTATGGCATTTCTTTGTATAGACAAGTCATTTATGTCAGTTATTTTTAAATTCTTCAAATCAATCATTGGATCTTCTTTGACAGGCTCTTCCTTTATGACTTCATTACATTTGATAGCTGCAAGAAGTTTCTTATTTTTGTAGCTGTCTTTTCGTTCTCTTTCCTTCTTCTGCCATGACTTTCCATCATCAATTGAGACATCTGGTGATTTTGGTGACATAGGTTCAATAATCGGTGATTCCTCAATTTCCTTTTGGAGGTTCTTTACAGCTTCTTTTTCATAGCTTCTCCTTGTTAATTCTGTTTTTGACAAGCGTATTTTTGATTTCGGTGTCTTTTTCTCACCTTTCTGATTAGAACTGCAATACGATTCCAAATTGAAATCTTTAATAATCTCATCAATATCTTCTTCAGTTGGAGCGTCGTATGATGGCGTAATGATGTAATTTGAATCATTTTCAAAGTGGAAGAACTTTCGATAGAACAAGCTTAGTTCCTTCAGAATAAATGAATCAAGACACTCAAGGTAATTCCCTTCAATCAATCTAGCAAAGTTCAATGCTATAAATTCCATACAATATTTCTTTAATACATTACAGTTGTAGGAGAAGCTAAAGTCCAAATTTTCTGCACAGTTCCTTAATGTGATTCTTTCACATACAATTGTCTCAAAAATTAATTTCATATTTTCAATCAAATATTGATCACAAATTGCAATCATATTGTAGACAAAATTTTCTGAAAAGTCTGCCTTTTTTAATGCATTCACGTCATTATCGTAAGCATATTGAACTATTGGTCTCATGAAGCTCATAGATATATGTTTTAAATCAACTGTATTATTTTCACTCCAACTATGATAAAACATCATTTTAAAGTACTCAATTCTCATCATAAGAACCACCTTATGAGCTCTTAATTTTTGATTCTCGTCAAGCAAAATAGTAACATCATAAAGATCCGGTAAATCATCAATTAAAAACCAACGGAAGGTCTTGTAAGTCATTTTATCTGGTCGCTTAATGAAATTTGAAAAATGTGTAACTATTAAGTTGTAAACTCCATTCAAGTTCCATTCAACAGCAATGTCATGAAAGTCTTTTGCAATTCTTTTCTTCGCATTTTCATCAGAAGCAGTCCTAACGACATCATTCATTTCTGCACTTGTTATGTTATTTTTGTAAACCCATATTAAAATACACTTGAACATTTCTGGCGTTAATCTTCGATCCTCAATCGTACAAATTTCATTTTTCGTGTCATGCTTGATAAAATTTTTGAGGAGCTCGCATCTTGAGAACACGACAAACTTATTGGCCTTAAATTGTGTATTTTTCACCATAAAAGTTACATCCATGATTCCACTTCCTTCGAATTGATAGTCATCAAGGAGGATTGTAAAGTCGTAAGCCTCAGTTGTTAATTCTGGTACCTTTACTCGCCTCTGATTCATTATTGTGATGAAGCTTTCTCCATCAACATCGCAGCAGAATGAGTTAACATTTGAAACATTCTGGATACGCTTCAAAGACATTTTTGAGGCCAAGAACTGTGCAGTGTCACGTTTTGAATGAAATTCCTGATATTCGGAATTTAGCTGATAAATTTTAGAAATTTTGTGCTGTATACTTGCTTTGAATAACTGTCCATCAGCATCAATCAGCAAATCATCTCCGCATGGTAAAAAGTCACGAATTTGTGTAGTAAAGAGTGGCGATAAATGAACTTTCACAAATTGTGAAATATCCTCATACCAGATGTAAAGATTCTTGTACTGAGTCAAAATTGTGATTGATAATGGCTTTTGTGATGAACTTTTGGATATTTCGTCACTGTTATATAACATCTCACCGCCAATTATTGCACATTGTTGGAAATTCTCCATTAATGGATTTTTGTACGATTTTACTCTTTTATTATAGAAAACTGTAAAGAAGTTCATTTCCTTATTGGACGAATACACGCAAATGCAGCAATTATTACTCTGTGCCCATTCTATTTTAACATCCTTATGACCTGGAACAGGATTCGACAATTTTTTTGGAGATATTATTGATTCTTGTACTCCTCCAAATTGTCCAACATTTAGTCCACAAACATAAACTCCTTGCTCATTAGCAAAGACCGAATGATAGTCACAAGCAATAATTGTATGCATTTTCAAGACATTAATTTCAGTACGGTCAAAACTGATTTCAGTAAATGTAAGAACTTTATCAGTAGTCTTCATTCCAAGTTGAAAGTGCTGATTACTCCCGCAACCGTAAATTGCTTTTTGAGTACGTACAAGTGTGTGATATAGACCTGCTGATATTGAAGATATCCTTTCATTTTTGTAATTGTACTTTATCGAGACTTCTTGAGGAGTTACAATTGTCGATTCGTTTCCAATACCTAACCGTCCTTCCTTACCAACTCCACAGACGAAAATTTTATTATCGTTTGATAGAAAAAGACTGTGAAACTTATTGACTGACGCTTCACGCATTGATGGAAGTGATTTTAATGCATCTGGATACTGCTTTGAAGTTGTATTTCCAATTCCAAGATTATAGTTCTTATTTTTTCCGAAAACATAAGCAAATTGCTCAACTGAATATTGTGAACCATATGGAATCAATTGAAGCGGAACCAAGTAGTCAGCATCAAAAATATCAAATGAAGCTCCATATCGCTTTAATATTATTGCATTTTCTACCCATCCATAGTAAAGTGCTCTATGCAAAGCCGTTTGATTTGATTCAAAGTCTTTTGCTTGAAAATTAGCTCCATGTTCTAAAAGAAAGTCAGCTACAACCGGTTTTGCATTAGATGAAGCAATCATTAAAGCTGTTCGACCCTAAAATAGTATTTTTGGCATTATTTTGAAGTTGATGAGTTGTTTATTTTTGCTTACGTTTGAGTCGCTTATCTTGGAGTAATTTTTACAAGTTAAGACCAAATATCTTATCAGTTTCGTCTCTTCAATATCATGTTTAGTTAAAGCAGCACTAATTATGTTTCCATGATGTGAAAGTTTGCAATTTCCAGTACAGTCATGATCTATTTCCATTTTTGCCGAAAATAGATTTTTTTTTATGTTGTTCCTTAACAGCGGCTGGTTCAGCAACTAAGTCAAAGCAATTCAGCAATCAGCTGTGAGAAATTTTTATTATAATCATATGGAGTCGTTTAATTATGACGTTACTTAAGAATCAAATCAAATGTTTTCTTGTCAGAAATTTTTAGTACGAGAAATTTTTGACCCCCCCCCCCCCCCCCCCCCCCCCCCCCCCCCCCCCCCCCCCCCCCCCCCCTTCTTCAACTTATGATAAACGTCATAAATGAATAAATAAGAGACCCAGAAACTTCAGCAGGTTGTTTCCTAGTCAGCAAAGTTTTTGACTTTTTTGTGACTGTTGAGGTGCTTAAAAACTTCTTAAATCAACTTAGGATCCGATTATTTAAGATATTAAGATATCGATGATATTTTGTAATTAAAAGAATGCAGTACGATTTTTTCTAGCAGAAATCATTAGAATAGACATTTGAAATAAAACTATTTTTAGATTATTTATGCTGCATGTTGAACCTCGATATAATGAATGTAAACAATAACATTGACAGGAAAGCAAGTTGCCTTTTCTCTCTTCATTATCTCAAAATTTAAAAATTATATTAATTTTTAATAAATCGCATAAAGTTTTGGATATTAAAAATGGTTGAACAAAAAATGTGTCGTTTGTGTATGACAAAAGAGAATCTCACAAGCCTATGGGGTAAGGCGGATGGAGAGAAAATAAGTGAAAAAATATTCTATACTTGTGGAATTAAGGTCTGAATGATAATTTTGTGATAAAATTGTGATAAACTTACCATGCAAATCTCATTTCTAGATTATTTCAACCGATCCTTTTCCAAAATTTATTTGCCATCAGTGCTTGTCATTCATAATCATTGGATCATCATTTAAAAGAAAAAGCTTAGAGACGGAGAAAATTATGAAGGATCAATTCGAAAGAGAGGTCGAAAGCATAAGTCTCATAAATGAAAAAGAGGATCATGAACAAGATGATCCATTTTATACTGACACGCGTGACACAATAAGAAACAAATTTTTAATTTATGAAGAAAAGTAAGTGGATACACATTTGTATTAGATAGAATTCAAAAACACTTATGTTCTCTCATTTCAGTCCAGAGAATGATGACCAACCGAAAATATCATATCACATAACAGAGTCAAGTATCAAAATTCGAAATACAAAACATTTTGAAAATCCTGAATTGAAGAGTTTTTTGGATGGATATTTAGCTGCTAAGCCTAATCTAGAAATAATTAAAGTTGTGAATCCTGAGACTATTCAAGAGATTGAAAAGGTTGTAGATGAAAATAATGAGCTCAAAAATCCAATACGAATAAAACGACCGCGTAATGAAATTGTACTGAATTCTCCAGAATCACAAGGCTCATATCAGAGATCAATGAATGTCAAACAGAAGCCATCAAGTCAAATGATGCAGCATTCTAAATTATTATCGGCTCTTGCAGGACAGCGATTTTCAAATGTTAATATAAACCGCATTTCTTCATCTCCACTATTTAATAATCAAGATAGTAACAATTATAAGAACTAGCATAGGATTTAATTTATATTGTATGTCTAATTTTAAGTTTATTTTTATTGCTAAAAAAATTAAAGAGAAATTAGTATTTTAAGTATAAGAAATAAAAATTTATGAGTATAAAGTAAACAAGACGATCAATGACGTCATTGCCGTTAATGTTGTTTTTCTTTCCAATTACAGAATGAAGAACATCCAAGTGTGGATGAAAACAAAGAATGTATTATTGATAAAGAAAGACCATGTGCGCGATGAGAGATGCTTGCCGACAAGTGCCGCTCTCTCGCTCGTAGATCACATAACACTATCACAACGATACATTTTTTTCAGGCTTTGGTAATGTTGGAGAATCGCATCTCACTAAAACTTTTTCAGTTTTTCTCCGGCTGCTGAAACATTCAGACGTGAAAATCTCGGTTGAAATATTATATTTAATTGAAAAAGTGGAATAGAGTAAAAAGAAAATAAAGGTAGCTAAGAAGAAGAAGAAATTATAGAAGAAAGTTCAAACGCTGATCTTCTTTAATCATAGTGACATCCGGGAATAGAAATACAAGAACTTCAAATAATTTTAATGAATTTCATTTAAATATTCACAAAAAAATGTTTAATTTTTTCAAGAGAAATTCTTGTAACGGTTCTTTTTAATTCCACCTTTTTTCCGTGCTACACAAAAATTGCAAAAATGCAAGCTCCCCAAAAAAAAAACATAAAAAAATAAATGAAAAATGAGAGCACGTAGTGTAGCTTTAATTCACCTTGTGTTAATTGAAAAAAAAAATTTGAAAGACGTGAAAAAATTCTAATTAGATTTTTTTTTATAGTTTTGCATAAGTTCGACTTTTTTCTCGCATTCAATTTTGCTTCTAAGCACGATCACATATCGTTGGATATAGAAAAATTATGGAAATTTAGTAATGTTTTAAAGGTCAAGTTATTTTTCATCCCAATTGGACACCGTTCTTCCAAAACAGCCAAGATGAAAGAGATGAGAAATTGCGTCAGGAACCAGTTTTCGCTTTATATATTTTTTTTCTAAATTATCTCTTTTACATGTATATTTTTTATCTCATTAATATCATACTGCGAAGAACATGAATTTTCATTTGAAAAATATAAGAATAAGAGTGTATATCCCTTAAAACGATATTATTATGGAATTTAATTCAATATTATTATCATCGTTCAAATGCAAATATTTGTAAAGATGGAAGATGTGTAGCTTCATTTAAGTAAGGAGAATAGCGAAAATTGTCTCGTAAATTGAATGTTCTGAGTGCCGTCTATTAATGAAAATGCTTAAAGCAATTCATTGGAGATTCGTGATGATGTACACATTAGAAAGGAGTTGTAAAATTTACAAAAAATTGCGCACAACCTTGTTTATTCTAAATACTGCAAACGTGGACAGTTTTTCTTTAAACAAATAATTGCTACGTGTTAGCTAGAATTTTTTTATGATTATTTTATTTTCTTCTTCTTTTACGTTGAATCTACATCATCATTCTATCCATAGACCGGTTTTAACACACATACTACAGACAGCTCGCTCACTACTCATTCAAATTATAATTTATTGTTTTATTACACACATTTTCATACGTTTTATTCGAAGCACATTGTCCGTGCTTGATAGCTTTGTGGATAAGAAAAATGTGTGCTGTGATGTTAATGTGTGATATACATTGTTGTTTAGAAATTTTGAATGCAATAAATTCCACAATACAGCAACAAAATTTCAGAATTTTAATTCGTGAGAATTAAACAGAATTTTTAATTATCATTTTGGGGAATTTTATCACGAACCTAATTATTAATTACATAGTGCTGTAAAAAAATTCATGCATAAAATCAGATTTACTGATAATCAAGTGCAACAATCAAAAAATATGAAAATATGCATCTCAATTAACACAACTACATTTAAACAGGTTGATGAAATAATGTTAGAGAGAAATAAAGACTCACAAAAATTATTCTCAGAAAGTATCAACGCAACTGATCAGTTCTTTGTTGTCCGTCGAAGAGAGTAGATCGTGAGAAAAGCAGAAAGAGTCGAAGAAAAAGTTGAACGGCAAAAGGAAAAAGTGGTGAAAAAGAAAAGAAAAAAGAGAAGATTATTGAAGTAGAATTCAAATTAGAAAGTTTTTTTTTTCTTTAAATTTGATTTTAACATGATCAACTGTGACGTCATTATCGAAAGCTTTTCATTTTTTGTCTATTGAGAAGAAAAATATATGTTCTCCAAATTTGGGACAGTTGTAGATTTACGAATAAGCTAATTCATTGTCCTATATTTTTCTCTTGATATATGACTGTCTAATTTTGTTATGATCGAGGCGGGGAAATTCTGAATTAATCCTGAAAAAACTTGATAATTTGCATGCTGGGAAGTTAAATTTTTCAAGCATATATTTTTGCATCTTATAAAGTTGTGACTTTTTTAAAATTTCTTAGAAGATGTAAATTAATATTGAATGTAACCCTGAATCCCTAGTAACCAAAAGGTAGATCAATGTATTCCATGAGAATCTTCCATGGATGATACATATGTATTATCCATGTATTATCCATCGGAAGATGATGTCCTATGAAAATGGAAGATAAATGGACAATGCAATAAGACATCAATGTAATACATCAAAGGAATACAAATGGAAAACAAATGGATTACTTTTTTTTGGATAAAAACACGTGTTAAATTCCACGTGTTCTTTTGTATTTTTCATTTATTTGTGTAAATTATTGTAAAAGTATTAGTATGTACTTAATTAAAGTACACTAACACTACGAAAAAGAACAAAAGGACTTAATTTAATTAAGTCGCATACTGATGAACGCCCATGACTCGCACACAAACCTGAGGAAGATAAATAATTAATTGAAAGCCCCATACAAATTTAGAGAGAACTTATTATAGTGATTTCTGCGAGCACTTGTGAAGTATATGGCAATGCCAAATTTAGAACAAATATTATTTTCCTGCAAAAAAATATTTTTTCGATGATTTTTCGTAGGATTTGAACTTAAGCGGGCTCGGGTTATACTTCGATGGAACACTTCTGTTACATATTTGTAAAACAAATATTTTCCATATAATAAATAATGATACATTTGATCTTCCATCGACGTCGAAGGAAGATTATATGGAACATTTTGGTTACTAGGGATGGCCCTGAATGTAACTTTAATAGATATGTACAGAATAAAGTTAAGTGAATATTTTGAGACATTTTGATTCTCGCTTGCAGATTTTCTAAGACCTTTCTAGATTAATCCTGAGTTGCCACGCCTTGTTTATTATTTATGCTTTAAATATTGAAAGAAAAATGCTCATAATTAATTTTTTTTTTGTAGGTGATAAAATATAAATTAACAAGTTTGTGTGACGGATTAAACAACTGAAAAAAAAAGATAATGCTTTATTAAATTAAAAAGAAATCTCTTCGGAGGAAAAATAACATAATTGTCATTTTTGTTGCAAATCTCTGACAAAATTACTTAGTGCAATAATAAAAAAAAAAGAAAAAATAAAATTGTGAAAGATCTTCTGTGAAGAAAGTAATAAGAAAAGAAAGCAAAAATTAGTGATAGAAAAAAATTATCATAAAGAAGATCTAATTTACAAGTGATGTGAGACATTTTCATGCATTTCAGTTCTTTCACAAATTGTGCAGAGCCGAAAAGAAAAAATAATTAAAAGTGTGTGTTATAATAAAAAGTGATAAGAATGGGGTCGCCATTTGATGGCAAAATTCCCCACAACATGGCACGAGCAAGGTCAACACAGTGGATTATATTTAGTTCTTTCGTTTTATTTCTATGTATACAACGGTTAAATGCTGATGACAGGGAAACAACAGGTACACTTTTGTTACTGTTTTTTTTTTGTTTTGCCTTACTCGACAAGAATATTTGTTTTGCAACGACTGTAAAACCTACAAAAATATTTTTTTTTCTTTTGCTGTGTCTTATGTGTTAACATTGCGAATTCTTACTTCTTTAATTGAAAAGACAGAGAAAAGAAATTTTTCGTTGCTAATAAAAAAATTAAACAACAAAAGTATCTTCTTCATTTCGGTCTTACTTCTTTCATTTTTAAGATAATAAAGAAATATTGTCACTTCATGTCACAATGAAAAGTATTAAAAGATGCCAACACTAAAGTTTTTATTTAAATCCACTTTCTAGTATTAATTTTGCTGCTACCTATTAAAAAAATAATATTTTGGAAATGTCAAACATTATTCAGCAAATGTACGACCTTCAAAGTTCTCCTATATAGACAAAAAAAAATTGTACTTGATGTTAATTGCACAAAAATTGTTTAATCACGTGGATATGAAAATATCGTTGAGATAAACAATCAGCACAATAAATTTTCCATTGAAATTGAGCTAAGCTTTATTCCAGTGTTCATGGATGGAGAATAATTTCCTATTTAGCTTTAGTAAGTCGTCTTAATAGATTTCGACTTCAACCAGTTATGACCAAATTTTGTCAAGCTTTATAGTTTAAAATGAATATTTTATAATGCTTTCTAATGATTATTAATGCATGTAACGTAAGATTTGTGTTATGTTATGAAATTATCTAGCAACAATGAAAGAGACTGAAGTGCATCCATCTCAGTGTTTACCAGAAACCGCTAGGGCTACGGGCATGTCTGAAAATATTTTTGTTTTGGATTATTCAATGTACACCAGTTCTTGTTAAAAAGACTCCTTCAAGCAAGGCGTGGAAACTATCCCAAATATTCGATTTATCCCAAATATCCCAAAAATATCCAAAATAATCTCTGAGCCTGTATGCACGATAATAAAGATATCCTAACGAATTCTTAATGTATTGGACATTTAATCTTGGGATTCGATGGGATATCTCAATTTTATTGCATGCAGGCTCATGGATTATTTTGAATATTTTTGGGATATTTGGGATAAATGAGATATTTAGGATAGTTTCCACGTCTTGCCTTCAAGTCATTATCAAAACGTCCTTCACTAAAAATCTAGAATTTAGAATAAATTTCAAAAAAACCTCACAAAAACTCAAAAATAAAGTTAAGTTCCAATATCCAATAAAAGCAAAAATTGACATATATATGAAGAAATAGAGAGAAGCTTTGTGAATGCCGGAAATGATTCTATTATTTTTAATGTTACGACTGCTGTTACAACAAACTTTCGAAGCTTTGCTACTAACCAGATGATGAAAAATTGATATTTTAAAAAATTATGGTGTATTTAAATTGTGATAGTAAAAATAATGACAATGAACATTTCAAAAATAATTAGCTATCCCATCAAATGATTCTCGATTCTTTTAAAACTTGATATTCACGATGATCATGAACGATAGATTTTTGGATGTAAAACTGCACACGTTTATAATCATTATACAATAACATTTGTGTGAAATGTAAAAATCATTTTTTGTTGTTAAATTGAAGAAGCGATTCATTAATAATAGACTTTGCGTTTTGGGATAATGAATACTGCAGGGGCAAATAAGGTAATGAGCGATAAAAGAGAAAAATTAAAAACATTCCAGAGTTCATTTCTGTTTTTTGTATATTCACACAGACAGATAAAAATCATAATGTAAAATGCCTGGAACGTTCGGAATTGTTATTCAATCATCGGAACGAAATGTTTTCAATTGATAACCGACGAGACCAGAAGATGGCTAAATATTTTCGGATATGAACTGTTTGTTTAAGTTCAAAATGCAAATTATTGGCTTAAAATTCCCAGTTTTCAAGGTCGGCAAACGAGTTAATTAAATCAAAATTATTCACTAGATTAGTGAATTTTGGAAGCAGCAAGAAATTATTTTGTTTCATCACATTCAAGATCTTTCTACAAGAAGTGAGAAAAGAAAAAGAAAAGCAAAATGAGTAACACATTTTCAGTCTGTTTCTTAATTTTTGTGTACTTTTCAGGTTTCTGTTTAAATTATTCATCAATAATATATGAATTTCGTTTGTTTTTAATGACTCACTTTGTACCAAGAGCAATTATAAGAACAATAATATAGCTTTATCAAACTTTATTACCGGTGTTTAATATAGACGAATGATTTTTATTGTCAGCTCAAGAGGAGAAGAAATAAAAGAATCGTAACGTGGAATAAATTTGTTAAATAAGACTTATTGACGTGTTTCATAATATTCTTTATAAATCTTTTGACCTTTTCTTAGACCGACTATGGTGAATACAGGATATTTAGGTCAAATTTTGTATTATTTTCAAGTTCTTTAAGTATATTAATTTATCGCAAAAATGATATTCATTGAAAGCTCTTCAAAAAAAAAGAATATTTAAGAGTTCATAAGAAGTAGTTGCATTGCAAGAGATTGCAGGGACAAAACGTTGACTATGAAACTTCTCAATATAAATGCAATGGAATGATGTGTGAAGGGCCCAGCCTTTCAGCTGGAGGCACTGCGATTCAAAATTAGAACAGAATCTATTGTACCACACCCTTTAGACCTACAGTTTATAGTGGGATCCGAACCACTTGCAAGCTCTGCACATTGCAAAGACACGAGTACGTCATAAGACCTGATGTACCCTGCAATGTACCTAGTCACAATTCGTGTGCGCAAGATGCCGTAAGGAAGTCATCCAGATGCTAGTATATCCTTGTATACCTTGTAAATGCAATGGAAGTAGTAATGTGTTTCACCATTTCTGAGAACTTTATTTAGCATAAATCGTTAATATCGAATGACAATGCAAATTTTTCAAAATACCAAAGATATAACCTCCAAGATCAATTTTAATGTCAACAAACATGAGTTGATTCAGGAAAGAAAGTAACACCGGATCATATAAATAACATTAGATGTAATAAATTACAAACAAGTGAAATATGAATAAACAAGTTTTTCTTGTTATAAACAAATGTATTTGCGATAATTTTGCCGAGTCTAACAAACAACAAGCAACAGACAGTAATTCACAAGAGCATTGTTACTTTCAAATTAATAATAGAAATTATAGCAGTTCTATTCATCAAGTCAATCTATTCTTTTGTAAAATCGAATAAGCCTAAATGTTCAAGCAGGTTAGGAATGAATATACAGCATCATGAGAATATAGAAAAAGAAGGCGATGAATTCAAATAGATATTAAAATAGCTTCTAAAAGTCATTCATTCAATTTTAAGTAACCTTTCCTGTCATCATCGTCATCGATGCTAAAATTTTAGATTAAAATTATTAAACCTGTTTCTAGATGAATGCTTCCTGAAAACCGGCTCCTATGACTCATTAAATGGACATTTCATTTTATTTACAAAATTATATATTATGATCGTAAGTCGAGACAAAATGTGCAGTAAAGTAATTATGTATTTACATATTCACTTGTATCTCACTCATTGTCCCTTCACTATGACATCGTTTTCGTTTTATTTATCTTTTACATGCTCGTTGCTTCATGTCATAAGCATTTCTCAAAAGGAAAAAAATATATGTCTCATGAAAACAGAGAAAGATGATAATTTACTTAAATTAGGTTTAATGGTGTGTCTGACTGAAAGTTTCACAATCAAGACTTAACGAAGCCACAAAACGAGTATTACTTCATTTCTAAGAATTGTTTATTTCCGATCAGAATTTAAATTATAAATTGAGTTGGTGTTTTGGTAGAAGTATTATACTAAAAGTATCGCAATGGGGTATTTCCCCATTTATTCATGACCTCAAAGTAAATTAAAATCAATTTAAATCTTAATTTTGCAAGTTCAACCGATTGTAATATTTTTTATGGCAAATATCTTTTTGTTCACTGAATATAATACATCCTACTCCAAAAACCCGCAAATTGTAGGAAGTTCAAGATATTTCAAAAGAAAATATTGTTGATGAGTCTCTTTCTAGGCTACAAATAATTATGATGAGCATACTTTTACTTTCTCAATATTGCCAATTCTTTCTTCTTTTAGACCTTAATGGCATTCACCTCTTCTTATTGTCTTCTATGAAGATTTCATTTAAACATTTTAAGTGACATACATTTTGAAGACGATAATTAAATTGTCAAATCTCTTTAAATTTCAATTTTTTTCAATTTATAGATTCATTAAGCTACAATAAATTACTCAAGATGATATTTTGAGTAAAGAGTATTCGTGGTTTGATTTAAACACTTTTCAAAAAAGATTCATTCATAAATGAAGTCCAACATTTAGTTTGCAAGAAAAATATTGATACATACTTAATACATAATTGTTTAAATTATATTTTATCATGAACGTTATTTAAGCATGTTCCTTAAAACAAAATCACTTTTCGAGCGGTCACGATTTTCAGTGTAATTGCTTAAAAACAATCTATCTTATTAATCTATAAGTGCTTGGTAAAAAGATCACTTGTTGTTGAAATTTAATGCTATTGTCATGCTTTTGTGTTTGCATACATTTGTACATACATTTATTTATTCATTCTGTTTTCATCCATTGAGAAGATATGATATTAAATTATGTTATCATAATGTAATAATAAAAACGAGAAGAACGGTTTCCATTTTCACTTAATTTAAAAACGGAAATTTTTATTAATAAATTTGATTTAAATGAAATAAATCAATTTGATGTATGCGGCAGGGCAGAGTGAGAACAAACGTGAAAAGGGGAACTCTACATTCGTGTGACTAACTAGACACATTGTTATCGCTATTGTATAAAATTCGTAAATCGGGACAAATTTGCTGTTAGAATCGTAATTTTTTTATTATGATTTAATTGAAGCAATTGGTGGACACACTTTACCTGTCGATCACGAGTCTGACTCCATGTTATGACGTTTAAAATTTTTTTACCTCAAACATTTCTTTGAATTCTGTACAAACTGGTT